GGAAAGACTTGTCCCTAGCATCAGGGTCACCCTACCTTGGTGTAAACAGCACCTAAGACTTGTACACACTGTAGTAAGGGGAAATACTTGTCCCTAGCATCAGGATCACCCTTAAACTTGGTGTAAACAGCATCTAAGACTTGTACACACTGAAGAAGGGTTTCATCGTGGTGTATTAAATGACAATCATAACCATTCACTTTCATAAACAATATAAAGTATAAATATAAATAAAAGTACACTAATCTACATGTGAAAATTAAAAATTTTATTAATCAACTTTGTTAATAATATCGAAGGTTTTCTTTTTTTTTTTTTTTTTGCAATTCATTGTTCTCCTGACGCAGCATGGTCTACCTGTGGTTGATATCCAGTCAATCCAATTTATAACTGTGTTCATAAATTTATTTTCTCACTGAAGCCATGGCTGCAGAAACAAGAAGAGACTGTAACTAGGTATTTTACCCTCCCCTCCCCTGCTTTGGTATTAGAGAGTTTTAGATTGATTTTTTTGATTTTTTTTCTCCCCGCAAACAGCAAACGTGACCACGTTTTCATGTGTTTAACTTAACCTCTTGCAAAATTTCTTACCAAAGACAACTATTCTTTTTTTTTTTTTTACTACTTGAACTTTTTTGCGATTCTTTCTCAGCTATTTGAAACAATTTTTCACTGGTCAACTGACGTTTCACATTTGCAGTGACTGTAAATCTAAAACTCTCTAATATTGACAATGACCCCTCATGATAACAGAGTTCAAAAGAACAAAGCCTTACCCTCCCTTCCCTTCCTTTTCTCGAGTACGTTGCTAATAATAACCACCACCCCTCCCCTCACATCTACATATATTTTAAAAAAAGTCTTACTTATTGGTTCTTTAAATACATTTTTCAGCAAAGAAAATTCCAAGCATTGGCTTGTTTAGATTCCTCTTCTACATAATGTTTTAAGAAGTGTTTACAGCATTTTGGTATTTCCTTCCCTTCCCCCTCCTCCCCCCAAGGCCGACACCACCCAAACACACCTTCTCGTACCAGTCTTTCTTTCTGTTATCTGCTGATTTGCATTTCCTGTTTGTCTGGTGAAAGAGAAGCAAGCGTTTAGTCACTCGTTCTTGTCCTCCTCTCTTCGCGTTTCAAGTAAGTTATACGTGTTAATTTGTATCAATCAGTGCATAAATACATTAGTTACGTGTGATATAGTAGATCTCTTAGTATGTTCTAGATAAGATTTACTGTAAGGTTCTACAATACACAGCTTTGATCATGGAAGAGTTGAACTTGTAACTGTTTGATTTGAAAGCCTGTAAAAACCTCATTTGACCGAAATATCAAGATAGGTTGGTGCTTGTAGAATAATGAAGTAAGAATGTGGATTCCAAGCAGTTAAGTTGGGTTGATATCGTCTGTTTGTGAACAGTTTTGATCATAGATCGAAGGATGCTGTAAATATGGGTGTTGGCGCAGGTCTTGGCAAAGTTTCCAAAGTTTTCTTTTCTTTCTTAACTCGGACAGAATCGTACGAATGGTTTATTTGAAACCTAAAACCATTTATCAAACGTCTAGGTGTATAATTTCTTAATTTAGTATCGTATTTTAATCTTTTTTCTCATATATTTCTATGATTTTCTAGACTATTCTGTGTGTCGTAGTGTTCTATTCAAGCTTAGTGATTTTCAATTCTATAATGTTTTTATTGAACATTTTTCTTAAATCTGTGATATGTTTGGTACCCGATGGCTTCACAAACATTTGGTTTCCAGTTTGGCGTATTTTTTTAACGAATTTAGTGCTATGATCTAGAATTGTCGTAGGATAATACAACACCCAAGAGATCCTAAGGTGTGTCGACAGATCACGAGACTATAGAGGTCACGCGACCATCTTATGTTACATAGATGAACAGTTTTGATTGACAGCTGATGACAAAGAACTTGAACTGAGTTCAGAATATAATGATCAATCATTATTCAGGACAAGTTGAACTTTACAATGAAAATCAAATACACGGTAGATTGATTAATAACTCCCATGAAGGAGTTACACATCTGTAAATAAAACTGACTCTACCAGGAACGACAAAATAATAATACAAAGTCTCTGTTTCTCGTCACAATACAACAGGACAACACGTCAACGATCTCTCTTGTGTCTCTGTCCATGATACAATCCACAATACAATCACATTACTTTCAAAACACACAAGGGCATGCTCAACTATAAAATACAACTGAAAAAAATGTTTGTTCAAGTTCACTTGGCTACAGTAGATTTTCAATTATGTATGTATTTCTTGTTTGTTTTCCTTCACGTTTTATAGGATTAGCTCTAGAGAAATGGTATTTGGCTTAATTATTGAAAGAATTCGGCTTTTGAGAACTATGACTCTGCCATTTTTTCAAGTAAGATGTTTTATTTTTTCCTTCAACAGGCAGTTCCGCATTAAAATGGCTCTCTATTTGGAAGACAAACATAAGAAAGCTATAGTTAGATTAGAAATAATAAATAAAGATACAAAAGAATTCAATGAACTTGGGTTTGCTACAAAGATATACATGCCAGAGAAAGAAGATATAGTTCTCATAACAAGTCCCAGTATCTTCCCAGATGGTATAGATGCACATTTGGATGAAATTGTGGTTCATCGATGGAAGCCAAAACCCAAGCAGAAGGATCCAGTGAAAGTTAAGAGTATTGAAAGTCATAAACAAGCAGATGTTAACACAGTTGTGTTTGAAGGGGAGAAGAAGTATTCTCTGCAATATAAAGTTCTTACTGAGAAAGAGATAAAAAAACACAGGAAGCTGACTGCATGTGTGTTTGAAGGTGAATTGAAAGTAGAGCTGCAGTTTGAAAACCAAGGAGGATCATACAAGCTGAGTAATGTAAGCAAAGAAGGCTTTAATGTGAAGAGAGCTAAAGGTGCACCAGTGATTATTAAGGAGTATTCACACCACATTCTTGGTATTCCAAGATATAATCATAAGATTGTTGGTGTACTGTCCATGAATAGTAATGGTGACGTGTATCCTGCTTTATTCAAAGATGGGTTTTTAGGTGAGACTTCTTAAAATTTTCTTTAAACAAAGTTTGCATAATTTATTTTAACAACGTTTTATGAAACAAGTGCATACCTCACACCATATCTCTCGATCACAATCCGAAACAAAAAAACACTAAACTTAAAAACCCACCAGTCTTTAACCCTTTGACTCCTGGGCATTTTTTGAGTTTTTTAGTGTTTTTCTGGACCTAATCGTCCTCCAAGCCCTAGCAAAACCAAATTTGGAGTTTTGATTGACATTATCATTTTTAACTCGTGAATACGCAAA